TGTCAGGAAACATGCCGGAGCGAGATAAGACGAGAAAAGAAGGAATACAAACACGACGTGTGGGGAGAAAGTGTGGATTGCTTTTTTAAGTTGCTCCCCTTCTGTCAACAGCGAGCATCAGAGGTATTTAGTTGCAGCAGGGAAGCTTTTCAGTTGGCGACTACGAGGCTAAAGTACAAGCTTTATCTGTAACCAAACAGATTCTTTCCTAATTGTGGCCAATTGTTTGTATTGTTTCCATCTGGGGGGCCTCAGCATGAAAATATGTGGGGCCCCCCTGAAAGAGAGGATGATTTATTATCTAAATAACCTGCAGTGAGCTCAGATTCTCTCTGACATGTCCTATAATAAGCCTTTTTTAATAAGGAAGAAACAGAAGTGCAGATGGTCGGCGGGCTTCCGTTAACAGATCCCTCAGACTGTGTGTGTGTGTGTGTGTGTGTGTGTGTGTGTATAATGATTGACTAAACTAATAGATGACTTATTGTATGTGCTATGGACGTACACTAACCCACACAAAAGGTGTGACAGCGTAAAAAGTTGCCAACTTGAACTTCCTGCCAAATACCAGGTGATCAAAGAAATTAGGAAGTGCTTCCTCACAAAAAACAGTGACGCCAAGTGATCCCCATTTTTGGATGGCAGACTTTTTGAGGGCTTTAACACTAGTTTCTAAATTAAAGACTTTAACCCGACAGGCAGAGGTTCAAGTTAACTTGCAGAGGCTGCAACATTACAGTCTAAGGTTAATAATGAAGAGAGTTGTGGATAAACTTGGGCTCATCTAGGACACTAATATGGACAGTCAAGGTACCAAAAGCTCAACTTTTTTGTTAATCCTGAAAGGTTAAATGTATTCTGGTGCATCACCTGTTTTGCCATTTAATCTTGTAAAGCCAAACTTATATTGTCAAGTTTTGTTCATGCATGAACATTTAACAATAACCGACTGCTGTTAAAGTCAGTCAAGTGGGCGTTCATGACAAATAAGGAATCATAACATGTTTCATGAAGACAATTAAGTCTGTAACACGACACAGAATATGAGGCTTGTCATTATTACCCACTTACAGAGTTAATTACTCCGGCTGTCATTATTTAATAGCTCCAGATATCTTAAATGTCTCCTCATCCACTTTAACAGCTAGAACACCAAACATGAAGACGTGTTATCACGTGACAGGAGGAAAAGAAAGTCCAAAACTAAACATGTGAGCTTCCTACATACAGAGCACAGTGTATTTAGCATGTTCAGGGTTGTGCTGTTGGATTGCTTTGATCCTGGAGGAAGAGGAGAGATGAAAAAAGCAGAGCGGATGAGGCGGTGCAGTGAAGCAGCAAATTAAAACACACTGAGACCTTGACAGCCTTTATATTCATCGGCTGGAGGGAAGCGTCTGCTTCGCCGGATGCGACGTCCAATCCATCGCGGCCGGCGGCTGCAAGACGAGATGTACGCACGAAAGCATCGAGTGATCTCTCAGCTGGTAACGCCAACATCTTCTAACTGAGGATCAATGGCTGTTGGGCTCAGAAGAAACTCAATAATAATGTTGTGATAGCTCAAACACGCCTCTACAGTTTCTTTTATTACTTTATAGCTAAACTATGAGTCCTCTGCTTTGGATGCAAGGAGTGGTACCCCCCCCCCCAAAAAAAGGAATGAAATGCCCTTGAATACTGATCTGATCTGCTAGAAATGCCTAAATGCAAATTTAAACCAACTTCTAGCATCCAATAAAGACCCCAACTCGACACTTCCTGAAGCTACTTTGCAATAAAATTTCAATTATCTCTCCTGAAAAGGTTGCCGTCGCGTCAAAGTAAGTAAAGTAAAAAGAAACACAAGAAACCCAAAGTTCCTCCATGTGTCTTCCTGAAATACGGCCTACTCACAAGACGAGTTGGTCAACTACTGAAGCTAGCGAGCCAATAGCGAGCTAGCTGATAACATGCTAGTTCCAACTCAATGTCAAAGATTCACACGGATTGAAGCCTACTTTGCCCCAGTGAGATAATCCTCACTGACCTGAAAGTTCACAATTTAAAATTTTAGTGCAACCCGGGCTAGTTTGAGATGAAATAAATGCAGTGAAAATATCTCAATAAAAAGCTTTCTGCTTAATCAGATATCATCAAAATCAAATCAGCAGTGTCTGAAATATTTGGATGAATGCATTTTGGCACATTGGTAATATGTTGGCCACAAAACAGGACATTTAACATTCTCGAACTCAGCTGTCTGCAATGCTGAAAAATGGATGATGTAATCACATCCCCCACAATCTAACTGCCGGAAAGAATAGAAAAGTGCCAAAGAATAACACCTGGATGATGACAGAGGATAGATGATGATAGATGACTAGAGCCACTAAAGTAGTGATAAAGTGGGCCCCAATGTCAGGAACAGTGTGGCATATATAGATATAGAGAGATAGAGATAGAGAGATAAGAGCCTGGCAAAGCTGCTCTCCAGACCGTCACGCTCATTACTCCCTGAAAGCAAGAGGTTCATCACAGGGAGCCGGATGAGCTGGCAATAAGGAACAAGACTCACAGCTCTACTTTCTGCATTTACACTACCGCTGCTTTGGTTTTATGTTCAGTAGAGATCTCTAATCAAAAAGAACCCATAAGAGCATCGATAAAGAACCGGTAAGCAGCATTGATAAGAGTACTAGTGTCGATAAACGATACCCATCTTTAATGTCATCTCTCTCTTGCTTATTAAATCCCTCTTACTTCCTATTCCCTTGAAGATATCATGTTGCAGTGAAGGAGAGACATAGGAGCAGAGAGGACAGGGGTGGGGTTTGGCATATTTTAGGAAGTGACTCACTGAGCTGTTGTCACCAGCAGCATGCTGCCAGGACGGAGGAAAAACAAACAAGCAAACCACTGAAACTGGGACACCTTCACATCACCACTCCTGACTCACGTGAGCTTTTCAGGTCAATGTGGACACCTGATCAAACATCCTTCAATCACCATGTAGCCAATCAGAGAGCTTGAATAAGCAGCTATAGGTTGGTTGATGATACTTCCTGTACTGCTCATGTAACAACGTTGTTGTGGAGTTAATAAACCTTTCATTCTGAGAATAATCGTCATTCTGCTGGTGTTCTCAGCGCAGGAATGTTTCCACAGACGCTGGTACACCGAGATACACAAAGAGCTTTCCCTGGTGGCAACAGACGTTCATTTATACGTAAAAAACCCGCAATCTAGCTGTAAATCAACACAGCATAAGACATTAGCACTGATGACACTGCCATGACATTGATAGAGAACAGTGTCTAAAAGTGTCTGATGGAGAAAGATGAAAAAACAGAAAAGTCTTGTGACCAAAGGGAGAGATTTTTGTATTTGTTGTAATATTTGCACTTGCCGATCAAATGACTCACAGAATGAGAAAAATAAAAGGCAAAGTGTTTACTTTGGGACAAAGCTGGGTTGTTTTTAGATTACCAAAACAAGCTGGACTACTTTGACCTTCTTCTCCTGCCATTTAAATGGCACCCAGCGGCCGAGGGAAGGAAGGAACTCCATTGTGAACTGCTTTCACATACACACTTTGAACTTGTATACACTCACTTTTTTTGGTAACCTTTAACAACACTTCATACCGAGTCAGCGGTTTACGTCATTGTGTGATGTATCGCTCTGAAATCAGTCCTTCAGAGAGTGTTGGTGGGAACAAAACTGCGACAAATTAACCACATACAGGAGAGGGTCAAGAGTAATTTACTGGAAGTTAAGCTAAATATCTTTAGTCAATGACAAGTGAACCTACATTTTCTGTTTGACAGCACTGTGGAAGACTCAATGCAATATGTTTATTACTTCATACTTTGACCAGAAGTCCATTTTCCAAGAATTTGTGGGTCTAATATTCTGTATTTTATGCTAAAACAGCGCGACAATGTTTAGTAAATTGTATTAATGGTGCTAGAGAAAGGTGTGGCTTTGCCTAATCTCATATATTATTGTTAAACTGCAGTCACAGCACTTTAATAAAAGGATAATGGATAAGAATGAGCTGCACACTGCCTCTTTCATAGTGGACTACAGCAGGCAGGGTTCAGGCTGCCTAACAAGGTTGAACAACAGGGAAAGGAGTAAGAAAGGACCCAGTTTCTATTCTCTCTCTCTGCCTTTTGTTCAGCAGTAGACTGAGCGAACGATTTCAGGAACAAACACCACCGACTGATCGGGCTCACAACCAATCAGCTGCCTCGTCTCACTGAGGCTGTATGCGTCTGAACCTCAGTAGCTTTAGGCCTGGACTGACGGATCAACAGGTCAAGAGGTCAGATCAGCTAAACACGTCAAACAGTTTTTAGCCAACTGCACAAAACCACGTTCAGCGTCTTACACCAACACAACTGAAGCAAACGCTTGTACAGACATCTGTAGCAGCTCTAATAGGAACAGGCCGAAGGTAACGATCACCGTTAGTACAGGTTCATTACACCTCATCTGGTAAACTGGGAATAAACACCACAGCGTGAAAGGGGATGTCATTTTAAAAACGTCATCATTGTTTGTATATTTAAAGTACAGTACAATCATAAAACAGCTGTTTACAATTATTAACAATGGTCTGAAGTTGGCATTGATAGACGACTTCCTCTCATGTTTGTTGTGTTAAAACTAAACCAGCAGACATCCTGGATCCAAAATGAATGCAGAGCTTCACATGTATTTAATCATTCAACACCACAAACTAGGGCTGGGAAATATATTAATATTATATAGACATCGTGATATGAGACTAGATATCGTCTTAGATCTCGTAAATATTTCCTGGTTTTAAAAGCTGCATCACAGTAACAGGATGATATTTTCTTAACATACCAGACTGTTACTAGCTGTATCAGAAATATTGCGTTAATATCTTGTGAGCGCTCCAATGGTCCCAACAATATGGATAATGTGATATTTGATATTTTCCATATGGCCCAGTTCTTGCACAAAGACTTCTTTGACTGTGTTCTTACCTGTGGATGTTCAGTGGAGCTGCTGCTCAGCTCGTCTCCCGACTCAGAGTCGTTGGTGCGTCTGTCTTCCCCTGCAGAGTCAGAGTGGTGGGCGTTGTCCACGTCCAGCGAAGCTCGCTCCAGGTCTGGGGATCGAGCTCGGGTGTGGGGGAGAGTGCCGGACCTTCTTCTCTGAGGGGGTTGGAGGGCTCCGGCGTGGAAGAGAACGTCCGCCAGAGCTTGGTCGTGGTCGGTGGGACTGCTGGGGGGGTACTGGTGGCTGCTGTCCCGGCGCTGACTGGGCGGACTGAAATGGCCCGAGGAGGCGGTTTGTGCGGCGGGTGAGCGCCGATTGCTGGACTCGTGTCTGTGGAGGTTCTCCGTGGACGGGCCGTGGAGTCCCAGATCCAGGCTGGTGGGCTTTACCCAGAGTGCACCACCCCCACTGTGAGGAGGCGAGCTGCCAGTGGCTGCGGGAGGATGCTGGAGAGGTTTCGGAGGCGGCATGAGGGCTTTGCGCACTTCGCGGACGTACTGAGCAGGTACGTAGAACGCTTTAGTCCCTTCCTCCTTCCTCACCTGCCACCAGTCCTCGTTGGTCTTCTTGACCAGCATGTAGCACTCCCCCTGGTGGATGATGATGTCGCGGTCCTTGGCCTTGTATTCGTAGTCGTACTCCACCTCGATGTAGACCTCGCCCGGGGCGATAGGCAGCTCCGCCATGATACCTCCGACTGTCCACCAGGCAGCTCACCGCAAGAGGAAGATTATTAGCATGGTGAGCAGAGCTGGAGGGAAAACAAAGAACCAAAGTAAGAATCCAATACATTTAGATTTGACATTTTATGTCCCAGTCATGATGTAATCAATACTTGGGGCCTTAAACGTGTTTCTTGGGTGTAACAGAGGGTAACCATATACCACAAAGTCTTTAAAGGCCATTTATTACGCATCATTAACCTTCTCTCCCACATTTCCCCAATTATATGCTATATACATTTGTTCCCTTGAAAGATAAAAAATGCTGAATGTCTTAACATATTCTGCTAAAACAGATCTGAAATAAGCCACCAACAGTCCTACATTGGCATATGTTAAGACCTTTAACTGGTTGAATATCTTAAAAACTGATCTAGAGGTAAAATTGGTATATTATATATTATATATGGACTCCATTCCTTGAATATTTGGTACCTGAAACGTCCAATATATATCCTGGAAGGCACTTCAGAGACAGAGCAAGTATGTCTGAATGCTGAGAAGAATGAAAGTTTATTGTACATCGATGTTGACAGGCTGAACATTAAGTTTAATTCCCATTTATTAAACTTGCTTTACTTCTAAATGAGTCTCTAGCACCGACAGCAGCAGTTAGTTTATAATCAGTAACGAGGAAGTAAACAGCAGCAGTATTAGTGATCATCTACAGTCGAGGAGATTAGAGTCACCTAAAGGAAACTCAAACTTAAGGACAAAGACACAAAGTGGAAATGTGTTCAAGTTGTGATGAAACCTCACAGAAAGAATTTAACAAAGTAAAACTAGTACAAAAAGTGAAATAACAATCTTTAAGGTTTATCAACCAGAGGTAATGTATTCATAAATCAGAGAAAGATGACTTAAAGCCTCTTAAAGTCTAATGAACTTATCAGAGCGAATGATTAAAATACAAAGTGAGGAGCTTTAATCCTCTTGGAGTCAGACATGAGGAGCAGAGACAGTAATGTGACTCACATGGTCTTCCACCACTCAAAGGATCCGTTATTCTGTCGAACTCTGATCATGACAGATAGTCCAGCAGCAACTGAGGCCTTCTGAGCGGACAAACTAGTCAAATCACAGTTTCCTGCCACAGTCATATATGTGCGCGCACACGCACACGCACACGCACACACACACACACACACCACGAGGTGGGGCTCCAGCACACCTTGAGCAAGCTGAGCTTTGAAGTGTTTATATCTCTAAAAGTTATTAAAAATGTTCATAACTCAACCGACAGTGACAACAAAGAGAACGTATTGGAGCCAAACGTTTGTTTGAAAAGATAAAGTCTCAGCGGTGGTGAACTTCAGGGGCAAACCTGAGTTTAATAATAAATAACCCGAGGGGCATGTACGGCCTCAGGCTATACCTCTATGCGTGGGCTATTTTCATAGAAAGAGATGTTCCACAAACATTCCACGCTCTAACACGCTTCAGAGTTCAAAGATTTGTATCTCGTCTGTGTTTCTCTGTTTCGTGTATCTCTGCCACGATAACCAATTCAGGTTTTGGACGATAGCAGAAATAACTGAAGTAACTAGTCATGGTTAAACATTGTGTAACAGTGATACTCACTTTTATGGCCTTACTAGAAGATACACTCATCCCTCTCTTGCAGCAGTGCAACAGTGATTAACGAGCACATCGTCACTAGCTGTAGCTTCATAAAGATCTGATTAGGTGTGATCACAGCGCCTGGATTACTGTCACCGCAGGGATAATAGCATCACGGATTACCGGCACAAATCTATTGGCCGTACACAACGTCCATTAGCCAAATGAACACCGACGCCAATTCACAGCTCACGGTATCAACACACAGAGAAGGACTAGTGAAGCATCAGACTGGGGGATGTCTGGCATATCATGACAACAACTGGCAGCTTCATCATTGACCTGTGATGTGATCATTCAGCTGGCTGGAGGAATCTCATCCTTGTGTTGAAGATGTGCTCAGAGGTTGAGGAGCTGTGGCTGCTTTATTTACAAAATAGTAACTAATAATAGAGTTATGAGATGTTTTCTGTGCTGAATGCTCTATTACACAATCTGTCACGCTTCACATAAGAAGTCTGTGGTTTTCCTCAGAGTCACTTTGGTCAATCCTGACACATTGTGGGAGTAATAACTAAGAGCAAACAGTGGGCCGGACCGTCTCCACCTACTCAACAGCAAAGACCTTCAGAGGCTCTGTTCTAGAAGTACTGCTCATCACTAAAGAGAATGGGAACTTTTGGGACTTAAGTCTCTGCAGCAGATGAGACCAAAGTTCATTCCCGGTCTTCTTTGTGCCACATTTCCTCTGGTTCTTTACTCCCCGTCAATATCCTGCCAGCGTTTTTAAGGGAAATCACAAACCAGTCTGGCAGCTAACGATTCAAAAAGTCTAACTCATCTCTCGCAACGTATAATATCTAAAAACCAACAATTAAATTGAAGATTTTAGAAATCTTTACGGCATTTTTCCATGATGTTACAGCTCATATGTAAACAACAATGCACCCGTACCACACACATAGTGATGAAGACTTTGTGGTGGCTCCTCTTCCTCATATTGAAAGGTATTTAGAAGGATCAGTGCCTGGAGGTCTGTCTAGATTAAGCTCCAGCATCAGCCGTGGCTATTTAGTGAAAAGCACAAATCTTCTTTAGAGTCCAATCAGCAAGAATTCAGAGGAAGCACCTTAATTCGATGTGATGGTAATGAGCCTTACAGCAGGATTAAATCATCCAGAGCGACGAGGCTGAAGAGTCGGGAAGGTAGAAGAAGAAATGTGTGTGGGACCATTTCAACTGTCATGGAGGTGGAAAAATCTGCCGTTGTCAGCACATGTAGGAAACGTACCCTCCTGTTTCTTTTGTCCCGCCTCAGCAGAACAGAAAGCGGTACCTTGGAAAGTTTTTCCAACGTAAAACGCATGAAATGTTTCCCCCGAAAACAGCGAGTCAGCCGAGTCAGAGACGCTTTGTGTTTCAGTGGTTACTCTGAGGGAGGCATTCTCATCAGAGAGAAGGTTCCTCTCACATCAGGCAGTTATTTACAGATAAGTGCAATCAGGCTCAGTCAGCTCGTGTTAAACATTCACACGGTGTCGAATACAGAACAGCCAAAATGTCAACGGTTCAGAAACAAAGCTGGGATTCAATAACATCAACAACTAATCCGTTAAAAAAAACTTGTTTATGTAAAGACATGCTGCCTTTAAGCAGCAAAAACCTGCTTCATCTCACACGTTTTAGAGACAGACGTCGAACACAAACCATCAGTTTAAGAGAAAGAAAGTGTTTCCTGTGATTCTGCGTCATCTGGAGTCACAGTTTGTAACGAGCAGCGCCCGTCAAGAAGTGCACAGTGACCTTCACACCAAGTCTAAACCAAATATAGGCCCATGTTCACCCAAAATAAGCCCGGATCCGGCACAGGCTGTCCCAGTTAGAGACGACTTCTCCCCGAGGTCAGCGAGCACAATCTGTCACACTTCAACAAACCACAGCTGGTGCTCACTGAGTGTGGGCGTTGTGAACAAAGACAATGGAGGTGTTTAGAGCCAGGTAGGTCACCTGAGCAGGTAGCCACAAATCTTACTGAACATGACATCACCTCCCTGTAAACAAACAGGTTGCATCACAGACTATTTAATAGAAAATACATTAATTGTGATTTTGATAATCTAGATTAATTTAGAGATGCAAATGACAATATTTTGATTTTGCCCATCACAGTTTTCTAAAGCACATGGTGTCATCTTCCTGTTGCTTAATTTATTTAATTCACAATAACAAAAAGCAGAAAAATCCTCAAATTACCCAATCAAATGTCCTATGTGACTTAAATTAATACCAACCAGCTCCACTGTGATTTACACTTTAATTTACAAAAACACAAGATTCATCTTATCTTAAAACTTAATCTCTGATATTAAGATATTTCCCACGCACGTGTTGTTATTGAACACATTCCAAAAGAAGGTGAAATGACCTGTCACCTGTGCCTCGTGCTGCACACCTTGACAGGTGTGGCGTTACTGAACAACAACCAAACATACAGTAGCATGTATGTTATCTAGCTGCATGAGGGTAACTTTATGGTACTAGACAAACTCCCTAGAGGGTATAAACCGTTAGTGGGTGTATTTGGTAGTATTCCTACAGGGATTTTACAATTCCTGGTATTTGTACAGCATTCCTCTAAACTTAATTTGCGACAGAAGTACTTGTGTTCACTCTCAGTACTCATTTAAAAGTCTTAGCAGTTAGTTATACTCGCGTTCTGTAGTCTTAACTTGATTTACAGGAGCTAATCTGGACGCTAACGTTAGCTAGCTAATTAGCTTTCCTGCTAAAACATTCCTCGGTGTCCCAAACACAACGTCCGCACCTTAACGTACCTCCTCTACTGGCGCGGGACACAAACAAACACACTCCAAAAGATCCCGAGTTGAGGGTTAGAATCCCGTAAACTTCTCCGGTGGACCGACCACCGTATGAAAACTACTTGTCAGGTTGGTCAGATAGTGCTCGCTCCCGTGTCTCCTGTCTCTTCCCGGTGTAATCCACAGCGGTGCTCGCTCCCGTGGACTCAACAACTTTGGCAACTACCTTTAAGTAAAGATCGTTTATTTATAAAAGACATATCACTCTGATATGTTTTCCAGGAGACAATCTGATTCACAGATACTCACGACGGCTCAATCCCAGATGAGAGGAGTCTCTCTCTCTCTCTTTCTCTCGTTCTCTCTCTCCCTCTCTCTCTCTCTCCCTCTCTTTCTGTCTGTCTCTCTCTCTCCCTCTTCCTCTCTTTCTGTCTTTCTCTCTCTCCCTCTCTCTCTTTCTCTCTCCCTCTCTTGCTGTCTCTCTCTCTTTCTCTCCCTCTCTCTCTCTCGCTCCCTCTTTCTTTATCTTTCTCTCCCTCGCTCTCTCTCTCTCTGTCTTTCTCCCAATATTTTAAGAAAAAAATAAATTAAAATGACCGTTTGTCCGTTTGTACACTATCGATAAAATTATTAGCATTTTCATTAATTCATCAAACTCGTCACCATATTCGGACTGAGAATATATGCAGAGTGAGACCCCCTGTTTAATTTGTACTCTTTAGTGTTACGGGACGCAAACAGGAGAATCAGCGCCACCTGGTGGTTATACACCGAAACTACTATTTAAATAAATGTAATAACTTATAAAATGTTTGCGTCACAGTTTGTCTCAAATGTGACAGACTGTAAACGCCATCACTTAAATATTAAATATTTTTGTTTTACGAAATACTTTTTCGTAATCATCTGTCTGCACACCAAATATGAAGCTACGCGCCATCGGCCGAAGAACTTAGCTTAGCAGAAATACGGAATACAGTTATCCTGGTTCTGTCCAAAAATAAGTAATAAGTAAGACAATAATTATCAAATGAGTAACATTTTAATTAGAATTATATATTAATATTTTCCACTTTCACCAAGATAAATAACCATAGTCAATTTAACCTGCTTCATTCTTGATCATAACAACCAAAATATTTACATTTTGAGATTTTTAACCCTTTAAATGTCAGTGCGTTTCCCCTGCTGTCGTTTATAAAAAAAAATATTACTTTCTACATACTTTAATTTTTTCCCAGTCTGGGATATGTTAATGATTAGCAACATTGATTTAAACACTGCAGTGCTCCATAATACAGCAGCTATGCCCCTAGTGGACACCGGGGAAATCACATGTATTAACACCACGAGGCACACATGGAAATATTTAAAATTACATTTTTGAAGGCAGGAGTTCTAGATTGAAAGCTTTATTTCATGTTTTGGGGGGGGGGGGGGGGGTGCTCCGATCATTTTATTTTAAATATGAGCTTCAAAATGTAGCATTCTGGTGTACTCTGAGAAGAATGTTAAGTGATAAGACATTTACTTTAAGCAAAAACCTAATGTTTTATTCAGTTATTAATCACTATTTCAGCTCTATTATTAATATTAACCTTTATTTAGACAAAATCCATAGAGACCGAGGTCTCATTTTGGTCAAATAAAAACAAAGACAGCAAGAGCAGCGAGAACCATCGCCTGTACAAAATAAAGTGATTCGTGTTCATTGAACCCTGTTACTGTATGGCTTCATATTAACTTCCACTGTTACTGTAAAGCTCTTAGAATTGTGGTCTCTTCTATTTGCAATTAATATGGCTTCAATACAGTTCAATTATTTAAATGAAAATGATAATCTACTCTGGCTAAAGTAGTTTATCAAGAGTAAAATAATAGCTGTGATCTATACACACCTCTGCATTAGCAACCCGCTGAAATGAAGGTACAGGCACCTTAAACCTCTCATTACTTCAGGGTTATTGGGAGCAACGTGGGCATGCAGTGGATGTTAATTTAACCCAGCAAGTCTGAACGGTAACGGGACATAACGTAATTTAAACTTTAACGGAGGGAAAGGAAGACGCTGTAGACATCTGAACGCTGATTGGCCAAGACTCGACACGTCAAAGATGTTCTATTGCGAAGATCACGACATCACCTTTTCTCCTCGTCTCACTCCAATCTGAGAAACGCTGGCTGGATTTCTTCAAAATCAACGGTCAGATTTCATAAAACCCATTAGTCAGCGCGACACCACGTCAACATTAACCGAGCCTTCCACAAACAGAAACAGAGACTCCGTGCTTTTCTCATAATTATTTAATCACACATACATTTACATCATGCAATCAATCCAAAAACTGTGCTCTCATGAGCCGCCCATCTCCGTCCTTATCAGAGCCGTTTGTGCCCCAGTTCTCCAGGAATGATCCAGAACCTTCGTCCACCGATGGATCCTCAAAGCTGTCCTCTAAAATAAATGACCAACTATTACACAGTAATAAAAAAAGTGGCTACACTTCGTTTTCAAATTTAGAATTAATGCAATTTAGGTTAACGCCTCAACTATTCTTTGCTGTTTGTTTGAATTCACGTCCAGTTTTGGACATTTTTGAGGTCCATGCTGCAAAGTCTTAACTAACCTTGAAGATTACACATAGGGAGTAAACCATCTCAATAGACACCAAACACTGTCCCGTCATAGATGCAGCTTGTAGAAAGTCATTATTACCACTTTAAATTATTAACGAACCCATTTACAGGAGCTTCTGTGTTCTCCAGTCAAAGACCGCCACATGTGGAGTGTTTCTCTGAGTGCAGGTGTTGAGAAGAAGTGCTATGAAACCCGACTTTAGTGTGACATCTTAGGAGACAAAGCTAAAATCCTTCCTACCCCCCTCCCCCCTTTATAAAGCTAGATTTGTTCCACTGGTCTAAGCCAAAACTGTAGTCGTTTGATAGTTTCTTTAACGTGTGTTCCTAAAAAGCTTTCGTCTTTATCTCCTAATGCGACCGTCTCCTCTACTGGGAGCTCACTGTGTGTTACAGCAGTCGCTCTGTTAGAAGACGTTGCAGCAGAAGTCCTGTTTCAGCTTTTTAGAAACATCAATGAAAGAAGTCCTCGCTGAGAAAACACACTGAGGGCCAAAAGTAAGCGGATCAGACGCTAACAAGGGGGGGGGGGGGGGGTCGGACTTTTGACTCTACGTGGCAGCAAGCACACCCTGATCACACCCGCCAGTCCACTGGTATGCAGTGTCGTTTTTACAGTGTATTGCACAAGATGTTAGTGTCGTCACGCCGGGGTTACAATCACATCCAGCTCTTTGCCGATGCTGAGGGGCTTCACGGTTAAAAAACAACACGCTGTGGTGGGAATTAAAAACACGACAAAGACAATAAAACACTAAATAAATGAGAAACCCTCCTCCAGATGATGACAGGAGATTATTGTGCAATTTTAGACCCTGCTCTGACTGGCTGATCAGAAGCAAAGGTCCGACCCAACGACTCATCTCCCCCCCCAAACAAGCATCTACACCAGCTCTGGAACAATGAAAGAGATAAACAATACAATAAAACCCAGCAGAACACTTTCTGCTAACTCACAACCAAAAAGGGGGCTCGTACAGTTAAAGGTCTTAAATCTATTAGAAACAACACACACAGGTGGGAGGAGCGAAGACAAAGGAGATAACGGAGGCGAGGCACCCGTGAACAGAAATCCTGATACGAGAGGAAACGGACAGTTTTTGGAGATGAGTGACAGGACGAGCATCGAGTGAGCTACCTCAGTCTATATGCCTGCAGACTATGTGCAGAGAGGTATAAACAGCGCCCGTCAACACAGCGTCATGAACCACTGAGAGAAGTAAAAACAGTACATTTAGCTACGTGGCATAGGCTATGCTAACAGGTGGAAGTGTGTCGTGTTAACCGGATCATCCTCCTTCCTACATTCTTTAACATCTTCCTCATGAAGTCACCAATAACGAGTAAAGGTTTTATTTTAACTTAATGATAAAAACAATTCTCCTCCACGGGTATTTAGTTAAATACATCTACAGTACACCGTTGCACGTTGTGGGTTTTATATCTTTTCATCCTCCCCCTGCCGTTTCCTTACAGCTCTCTCTCTCTCTCTCTCTTTGGGGAAGCGTGTGCAGTAGTGCCAATTTTACATCTGTACAAGAGCGGACAGAAGAGTAGTGCTTGACGCCATCTAGTCCATTCAAAACCATACAGTTGTTTTGTAAAATCTTTTGAGAGGAAAGTGTTGTTAACCAATAATAGCAACGATGAAACGGACAGAGGTTAGCCGACAGGGCGTAGGTGGTCGGGTCTCGTATTCTTTTGTTTGTTTTTTATCTTGTATTTATCGGATCTTGCTACGCTTACATTCAGCATGGCACGGTCGACGACAGAATGTGCAAAGACAAAAAGGAAACCGGAGCGACAACATTTAAAGGTGTTGGCTGGTTCCGCTTGCTCACGACTGCGTTTGGTTCGGTGGATACGAATCCTATCTCGCCTTTTGTAAATGTGTTGTCCTTTCTTTTTTTATTATTAATATTTCCAGTACGAGAAAAAGAGATAAGTCATGATGAGAAGTGGGGGGAGTGGGTGGCGGTGTGTGTGTGTGTGTGTGTGTGTGTGTGCTGGAGCTGTACAGGCCAGGAATATTTATATATATTTATAATTCAGAAACTCCTTCGTGGCTCCAAAGCAGCGACGAGGAGCCTGTTCGCTGTTATGGAATGACGTGTTGTCGGGCTGGGCGGGGGGGTGATATTGGCTTCTTCAGTGGTGTCGTCCTTCTGTCCCGCCGCTCTTCAGCTGAAGACATTCAGAAAGAAAAGGAGGTCGTTAGTGGACGTCGGACACTTTTCTGCAAATACAACCGCTCCCAGCACGTGTCCCAGCATGCCGTGTTGTTCTTACTTCTTGTCGGGTTTGCTGATGCTGCTGCCGCCGCCGCCGCTGCTGCTGCTGACGCTCCCCCCCCCTGATGGACACCGTCTGGCTGTTCTGGTAGAAGCCTCCCCCGCTGCGGTTGATGTTGGGGTGGGTGGGAGACGCCACTGGCTGCTGCCCGGGCCGGATAGGCTTGGCTGGGGGAAGAGGAGGAAGAGGAGATTGAGGGTTGGCCGTTTCAGATGATGTTAAAATGTATATTCTGTGTATTCTGCAGCGACTAGAAGGTGCTTCTAATCCCCGTCTTACCGATCTGGGCCGAATGTCCCCTCCTGGCCATGTTCTTGGCCCTGACGGCCTCCTTGATGCGGTCCACCTCCTGCTGGTAGCGCTTGCGGTCGCGTGCTGCATTCTCCTTGGCCTCCTTCAGAGCAGACTCAAGGGCCTTGACCCGCTCAGCCGTAGCACGAAGACGTTTCTCCAGTTTAGGAAGCTCACAGCGCAGGTCTGCGTTATCACGTACCAGCTGTGGGGAAATGTGCATCGAGTTAAATCAAAGATTGTGATGGAGAGGAGAAGACGGTCGAACGAACTGAAGTAAAAGGCAGAGAAAGAACAGGACAAGGACAGCATTACGCCATCTTGTTTCTGGGTGTGGTTATTAACTTCCTACCTGTTTGTGAACCTTGGTGAGCTGCTCAAGATTGTTCTCAAGAAAGGAGATTTTCTGTTTCTGTGCTGCGCTGCCGCCTGTGTCGTCAGAGTCCATCTCAGCACTCTGCACGGCCAATAAAACACAAGCATTACAACTTCAATAATATGCACATTGTTGCCGTTTGTGGCAGAACTACTCTGTCATTTTGTCATCAATATGCACTTTAAAAAAAAAAAAAAAAAAAAAAAAAATGTTGGGTTCACCTTTTTCACTCTGGTAGCCAAGTCCTGGACAAAGAGCTTCCTCAAATTGTGCAGAGTCTGCAGCTCCTTGGCCTTGAATGAAAGACAAAACAGATCGATTGAGATGATTGGAACAGACTGAAAGAACACTGCAGGTATATCAAACACACTCACAGCAACAGAAGATGTAAAGATCTGTTCCTACGTGTCAGTACGACACCTCAACGACTACATCAAACTACGACAAAGACTCACAAGAAGTGCTTTTAAATCATGAGTTGGTTGAGATGAACTCACCACTGTCTCCTCCAGACCCTTCAGGTCCTGCCTGGCCTGCTCCCGTCTGTCCTGCATCACCCTGAACGATAAACAACAACAGTAAACACCTGAAGAAAGACACTCGCCACAATGCTGCTCATGGATGCACATGTGTTGCACGTGTCCTTAAACTGAAACATATTGTGTGTGTGTCGTACGTGAGCTCGTGCAGCTTGCGGCTCTTCTCCTGGTCGGTGGATTTGAGTTTCTCATGCTCCACTCTGAGCCTCTCCTGCTCCAGCATGATCTTCTGGTTCAGACTGGAAGAGACGACAGAGCACCGTGTTCATATGAACCTACTGACTCAATCTGTACATCTGTGTGAACAGCGAGTATTATTTTACTGTAAAAACACCTCACTACTATCGTTAGCTAGCTCTATATGTCTGAAACAGGGTTTTCCTGATGATATTAAACGTAGTTTGGTCTCTGTGCTTGAACAGTAACCCCTGTCGCTGTGCTTTCATCTCTTTCTTTAGAAACGGACGCCTTACTCCTGCAGTTCAGTGATGAGCTTCTCCTTGTTGTCCAGCTCATCTCTCAGGCTGCTGATCTGCTTCTGATGAGCATCACGGTGGGAGTGGATCTGCTTGTCCACCGCTTCCTGAACACGCAGAATACAGAAACACAGTTTCAAACCACCACAAGCCGTGAAGTATTTACATTAAACTCACAGTTCTCCTTCCTGCAGAACCGTGGTGTTCACTCGTGTTTACTGTTTTATGGGGCTGAGGAACGTACCTTGACTTCATTGGCCGTCTGCATCTCACTCTCTTTCTCCATCGCATGAACTTTCTCTGTAAAACATGAACACAGGATTCATTATCATGAGTCAGGAATACAGGGATGTTAGTATCCACTAAAGACTTAACATTAGCTGGGATTGGGTTTTGTTTACCCTTAAAAATAATTCTTATTTCGCTTATCGTTTCCGCTTCAGAACCAGTTTCTGAAATCCAACCCTACCCAGTATGTTTAGGTTAAAGAGGCTATTTAAAGCGCCCGTTAGGATTAATTGCCTCCAACAGCATTTAAGTGGACTTGAAGTGAGAGTCCGTGCTTCATCTCTTGCTCTCTCTCCGTGAACACCAACACACCCTGAGCGCTGAGCTTTACTAGCTCCTCGTTGAGAGAGTCCACGTTCTCCTCCAGCTGCCTCTTCTTCTGCTCCACATTCTGCAGGTACTCAGTCAGCGACTTGATTTTAGCCTCATGCTGGAGACGGAGGAAACGATACAGATGTTTATGCATATGAGCTTAATGAGGATTACACACACACACACAGAGATCAGACAGGTGCGTTGTTTGTGGTTTGTTTCTATGTACCTGGGAGATGCGCAGCTGGCAGGTAGCCAGCTCCTTCTCGTTCTCGTCCATCTTCTTGTTGCTCTCCGACTGGGTTCCCTCCAGCTGCTTGCAGCGCTTTGCCATGGTCTTCACCTCTGACTTCATCTTGCTGATGTAGAGGCGGGCCACCGTGAACTCCTCATCTATCAGGCCACTGCCCTCGTGTTGCTGGAACGGCAGAAGAAGAAAGTTGAAGAGACACAACCACATGGAAGAAGATTTTTAAAAACACCACGACGCACACCGGTACCTTGATGTCATTGCTGCCCACGGCGATGCCGATCTCAGCGAGGTCTTTGAGCAGCGAGGACATCATCTCAGTGACTCTCTTCTTCTGGTGGTTGGACATCTCCTTCAGCTTCTGGAGCTCAGAGTCCAGAGACGACAGGATGGACTGCAGGGAGGGGGGGGGGGGGGGGGGGG